ATAATTTTATTAGGCAGGATATACAGTAATACAGGGAAACAGAACTGGGATGTGTACTTAAATCACATTTCCAAAGAATAACACAACACATCATTTTCTATAATGTCTATAATGGTAATCGAATGAAATCAGTCCACTTATGTGTTACAGTTTCTTTAAATGGTGAGCATGATCTCACCTTGGAGTGAACTCAAGATCAGTTTCTCAATCTGTCCCATCACAGTAGCACACAGTATACATATCTTAGAAGAGTTAAAATTATACAAAAACAGGAAAAGCTGCTGTGCTGCCTTAAATATTTATCTGTGCTGTGCTGCCTTAAATATTTATCCTGCTTGAAACTGAAGTAAAATAATTATTTTACTAGTTTCCAGTAAAATGTAGTCCTTTAAGGTAAAGTGCATTAATTCCAGCAGAAACTATGAATTTGATGGTCTAGAGAAGTAATAAACATGATGATTATTATTAATACGCTAAACGTTTGATAGAAGAGAGAACTGATCAACGATCAAAACCCATGAATCAAGGAGGGATACATTTCACAGCAGGTAACTAATCAATTGTCCAGCTGTGTGGGGGGAATTCATTCTAGGGTTCACAAAACTTTTGCCAACACCTACATGATACACATTTTACAGTTTGGCCCCAGGTCTAGAGCTAGAGGAAGGCTCAAGAGCAATTAAGAAAACTTTCGGTCACTGATTTTAAATTTTAAATTAAAAAAAAAATTGAAATACAGTTACTGGACTCTGTTTTAGCTCATCCAGAAACCACCTGTCCATCCAGAGTGGAATGTATTTATCCATCCAGGTTGGATGACTTTAGACAGGTGGTGCAAAGGTTTCCAACCTCCATCTGTATCTGACATCAGCTACCCCAGTGATTTCCAAGATTTTCCTCTGCCTTTTCAGAACCCTGTCCACAAGCTTAGTCCAACTGGCACCTGATTGTTTGACTTGCTTGTTTTGCAATGACGTATAGAGAGGGTAAAACTGATGGTGATGCCTTATTTTAATTTCCAAATAAATTAGGACAGTTAAGTATCACGGAAAAGAACCGGTTCTCGTTATTCCTGAACAAAACAGCGAGGGGACTTGACACAGGTATTCAAATACCTGAAATGTATTGGCAGTCATTCCAGTGGACTTGGTGAAACAGAAGTGTGTGTGGGCAATTAAAAGGGTTCACATTCAGGACAGAGAATTGGAAGTGCTTCTTTACACAAGGGCCTGTGATTTTCTGAAACAAACAGCTCAGTCATGTTGCTGAAACTGATGGCCTTGAATCAATAAGCAGCCGCCAAACACATGAACTGGATCTGTCAGAGGATCACCTGCTGTTTAAACCTTATTTCCGATGTTCTTATAACTTAAAAATTCAATGCGGTTGTTAAGAATGTGCCTGATCAGTCAAGTACAACTTAGATCAAAAATCTGGGCAAGCAGAGGTGGAAAGCTGGAAGGATTTGGGAAACACTGAGCAAGAGATCCTCACAATGATAGTGTCTAGTCCACTCCTGCCACTGCCTGGCCTTTTTGGAACTAGCCTTGTCTGGGGTACAGTATTTGAAACTGTACTGTTGCCATTCTGCATTTCCAGTGTGGCGAGAATTCTCTGGCTTCAAAAGGCTCCCTCTTGTCCGATTTGGAATTCCAAATCAAAGAACTGTGAATGTAGCCTAAGGTCCGGGTTTGTACCTTCCTAGGGAATCTGAAAATGTTTCCCAGTGAGACGATATAATATGGCAGCAGTTCTGTGTCAAAGGTCTACCACCAAGCTGTAAGCATAAATGCACATGTGCCTTTGGAAAATCCTGTCTGCTTCTTTCAAAGAAGGGGGTGGGGAGTGCAATAGCCTAGACATTTGCTTAAATTAGCTGTTTTACAGTGGTGGAAAATACTGCATGGAGTCGGAAAGCTCTCCTGGTACAAAACGGAAGTGCAGGCTCTCTCGTCTCGACGTGCTCAATTTTCCCTCTCTGAAACTTGCGCTGTGTTCATTTACTCATTCATAATTTCAATTGCATAAGGATTGGGTAATGGCGAAGGAATGTACATCTGGTAGACAAGGCTTTCGACAAGTAGCCTTTAATGTACGTTCTGAATCCTGTGGTTTGCTGTCATTACAGACTGCGAACTAACCTGATACTCTTCAGTCCTCTCTTCTCGCCCAGACAGAGAAATTGGAAGCAGAGACCTAGTTCGACAAAAGGAGAGCTGGGTTTTTTTTTAGCATTTTCTGTAAATACGGTAAATGACCCACCGTTCATTCCCTGAATTGCAAGTAGATTTTAACGGTGGACTGTACGTTTAAATACAAAGAATTAAGAGAGAGGAAACTTACAATTTTAAAACGATTTTGTAGATATAGTTATTATCAGAATGTTCCCGAGAACATGTATTTCAAGCCTTTTTGTGCCGGATAAAGAGGAAAATCTGTTATAAGAAACTCAGTCTTTACTGCTTTTTTGTGTTTTACTTTATTATTGCACTTAATAGGTAAACAAGCCAGTAAATTTGAAATCTCATACAGTTGAGGAAGACAAAATGAAAGGTGTAAACATTTTCCTTGACAATTTTCTATTCTGCAGCACTCAGTGGCATTTTGACTGAAAGTAAGTCAGTATCCTGGTTTAACATTGTTGTCCTGCTTCTGATTATACAGTAAGAAGGGGCTGCAAAAACATCATACAGTTCTTTTACTTGTATAAAAGATGCTAAAACCCTTGAATGTTTCTTTTTAGTGCCCTGTGAATTGGCAGCTCTCTTTTAATAGTTAGAGCTGAGATGGATGAGAAATACTATTATTAGATTATAATGACCAAGAAAGAAATCTATTCACTCTTTTTGAATGTGTGTCCCATTTTAGGTTGTAGTTTACATTCTTTTAAGAAATGATCAGGACAGAAAGTCATCAGCTTCTCTTTTTGAAACCATAAAGAGCTCCCTTTCAACCATTTTAAAATGTAAAACTGTGTTTTTATAGATAAAAATACTTGAGATATTACTTAAGTCCAGTTGAGTTTATTTTGACTGTTGTCAATGTCTCAGAACAATTCATAACTCTGAATTGAAATGAAAAATATTCAAATGCAAAGTAAAACTGCTGATCTGCAAAATATTTTCAGTTACAGTATGGCTACGCCAGACTTCATGCAAAAATCCGCTCTTAAATTTTCCAGGATTGAGTTTCAGTGTGTAATAGTATGACTGTCAGGAAATAACCCTTAAGTGTACTTGATGTAAAAGCAAAATGCTGAATTTGTATAGTCTCAAGACTTTATGGTGTCTTAGGATACCCAAAGTCCAGTGTGTAAATGGTACATGTTATTCTTACAGAAGCTTACAGAACCTGTATTATGACAGTGTTACAGTCTTAATTCAATCAAGAGCTAAGAATAAGGTCCTGGAAATCTAAAAAAACTAAACTGGCTAGATGAGTCCAATAGTATTCTCTTGTGTGTAGCCTGTCTGACGCCTTTAACTGCTCTGCCTATCTGGATATATTTTAGAATTGGTAAACCACTGCTTTTAGTCACTGGTACTGTATACAGCCTTAAATGTCAGATCTTTAATGTGTGCAGTTGTCATCCAGATACTTGCTAAGGCCTTGGCAGTGATGTCCAGTGAGAAGTGAACACGGCCTGTATTTACCTCCATCTCAGCTTAAAGCATATTGCTGCTATTCCAAACAGCTTGGCTCCTGGCTTTTCAGATCTCTGCTCTAACCGAATCGGAGGAAATAGTGCCAGTCAGCTCTAGGTCTCATCACTTAGAGCCTGTTCTTCTGTTAACAGCTTGTTAACAGCATTTGAAATACAGCACCATAACGAATATTCCAGATTTTTTACAAGATGTTTTCATTTTGTTTATTTAGCATTTTATTATTCAGCTTATATGTCTCATAGTCATTTGTTATTGTTTTTTTATGGGTCACATTTAAAGATAAGCACGTATTTTTCAAGACCTACATGCTTTTTTTATTTTTTCTAAAACCTAGGGATTATGCGCTGTATATATGGGCTTGGATCGTAACCTACTTTCAATTAGGTCTTGTCAAACTCTGGATCTCTTTCAATCCCACTTGAGAAGAGAGAATGGATGGACAAATTAGTTTCACACGTGTTTACATCTCTGTTGTTATTTTTTAATTTCCATGGTATTTCCGGCCTTACATCATGTGCTCTTCCTGTAGTCACATTCCTACAGGGGAAAGCAAGGAAAACCTTGCCAGGATGCTGTATTCAATCAAATACAAATAATTCCTTGCATAACTGATGTTACTTGAAAGGTATATAAAAATGGCATTTTATAAAAAAACACGAACATAAATGACATTAATGAGCATTCAGGTCATCGCCTTCTCCTACAAAGGTAACAGATTTCAGGACAATTTTGAGCTTTTAACTCTAATACCACCATTTATACCAATTCCCAGATAGTTCCAATTCCTGTTATGATTTATATTTATGAAATTACCAATTGCTCCGGGCTCTTAAATAATGCAGAATTGAGAGAACATGTGCCTTTTGAACTACACCTACTGGAGGGACTTTCAATTTTATAACATTTATACTGTGCATTTAGTGCTGGCTGCTTGTAATTTAAGTGTATTAGAAAATATCCAGAAAATAATTTTCAGTGAATTCGAGTGATTTATCAACAATTACCAGCACAACGTTTATAGGAATTTCACGGTCTTTCCATTCAAGCAACCTTGGTGATATTGAAATCATACAATAAATTTCCTGTCTGAACAAGCTTATGTTACTCTGTGTTTCACGTTGTTTCTTTTACGTCGACATACACTTTACGCACCTTTCTTACGCAGCATATCAGCGGGGAATAGATGCTGCATAAACTTAATATCTGACGGTTCACGGTTTCAAACAGAAAATGGTTCTTGTTAGGTGAGAATTATGAAACACTCAAGAATATTTCCATGGGAGAAAACAAAAAAAAAGGGTTGAGCATAATGTTACCAGTCGATACGTGTACAGTTTTCAATTCTCTTCGCCCTGGACTGCCGCTACTCTTGAAATAACGGAAGGCATCGTTACATTTTTAGTTTTTAACAAGACGAGGTTGTTTGGTGCCCGCAAACATTAAAACGCAGAAGTAGGTTTATGTATAAACTTAACATCAGTTAGCCCTTTTTTCCCTTTCAGTAACTTTTCATTCCTACAATGAAGTTCTTGTATGCTCAGTGTCTGAGAGAAGCCGCAGAAATGCCTTGGCGCAGCGCTTGGAGACGTCATGGATTCCTGACTTGTGGGCTTCGCAGGAAAGCCCTGAGTCTCCGAGATGGAGCCGGTCCAAGTTACCATGGCGAGGCGAATAAACAGGAGGAAACACTGAGGGAATCCCGTTATTTTACAGCATTCAACCATTATAAACACGCAGATCAGGGAAGGAATCCGTCCTTCTTCTCTAGTAATCCGCCGCACAAGAGCTCATACCATTACCTTAGCTAGCTAGAAGTTCTATTACAGCACATGCTTCTTTAACGTAAAGGCGTGTTTTATTTCATTTTTTTTTACTATACGTCTATACTTTTTTATTTTTTATATGCAAAATCCAACTATGAATTTTATAAGAAGCCTCGTTTCTTGTTGCTGAATTTTTATTTGCATTTTTTTTTTCGTTTTAATTTTCTTCTTCTCCCAAATGTTCAGAGAATCCTGGAGACTGGCACATTATCACATCATGAGATCCATGGATCAAGGTATGGACGCAGCACGCTGAAGTACAGAAGACAGGTCATTTTTTAAAAGATTCCATTTCTTGTTGTTAAAGTTGACGATTATTCAAATACGTATTTTCAGTAGATTTTGTTTATTACCGCGTTAACAGGATCACTGTAACATATCGTGTGAATGGTCTTTTTAGAACAAGTTAAAGGTGATAATGTGATAATTTGTTTGGTCATTCAGTGTGCAATATTGCTTCAGTAGTTATAAAGATGATGTCTTGGTCAAAAGTTGGGTGCTCAGATTATAGATTCACCGCATGCTTGCGTTGAACGCACTGCTTAAAGCATAGGCGAGATTTCGATAGACTCATTTCCTTAAGAAATATTTTTTTAAAACTCCTCCAGGTGCTAAGGAGTTAATTAATACTAGAATCCTTTGTACGGTCCTACTTTACGTCATTGAAATCACTATAAATACAAGGTTTGGCGCAACTGGGGACCACGGTGTGTTAAAGACAGCGCTATAACAAACGGCGGAATCGGAAAAGCATAGTGAAGCTGGTACGCACGTTTTTAAAACAGCTGTACTGCACGGAAGTCTGTGTACAGCATGCCTTTTTTAACCGATAACGGTCCACCTCTTTTAAATAACGTATTGACTGAAAATCCTATATACGTGAGAACACGTGTACAGGACTCAATCAAAGACACTACAAGGAATGAGGTGTTGGCGCTCCTACCACTGCTGAAGCTGTCAGTACTAATGCACCAAGAGACTACCGCGCTTGAATCTTTGTACTCGCCAGTTGAGCGTCATTCAGAGACGAAAATAGCGCAAGATACTGTACTGAAGCACTGCATGCGTGCACGAATCTGAGCGGTTTGAACAGCTTTCTTTAACCTACTGTATTACTATGGCACCATGGGTCACTCCCACAATGAACATATTTCAAGATGGGTTAGCATGTTCTTGACAAGTAATATGGGTTTTTGCATGCTGAAGCCAATGTTGTTTTTTTCCCCAATATGCACGAATACGTATTGCTCCTAATTTTGAATTGCTTTTTATATTCACCTCTAAAACATCAACGGAGCGCAAGGAACAGTAACTTGACAGTACAGTACTTGCTTTCCTTCTGTGATACTAATTTAAGAAGCTATGCACGGCACGCTGATCTGATTTAAACTGTCAGTGTCCCGGTTTTCCATGCAAAAGGAGAAAACTACTGTGCAGACGTGTATTATATATCCAGCCCTCAAATGTGTTTTTGGCTTTAGGGCTCAGCGGGTAGCACGGATAAAAACGCGGAGGTGAGGGTCTCCCCAGCCAGTCTCCAGAATCCAATCAGGTCGTTCTCAATGGCAGTTCAGAAACCCCTCTAGTCTGTAGACCGTAAGCCTGTTTTCCCTAATGCTTCATGAGATGTGATTAACTGATTCAGTGCAGTTTAGAAGCAAGTTCAGAAGGGTTTTTAACCCTGAAATCCTCCATTGCAATAAATCTTCGATCTTCCTGACATTTTTCAATGGATCAGAGCTGAAAAAAACGGAGCTGTTTGTCCCGTTCGAATTTCCTCTTACGTTCTTGCACGATCTTGGCTGTGTGTTTCTGTCATGCTAACTAAGTGCCGAGGTTTATATCTGAACGTGCTCAACTACTTTCTTGTGACTGTGACGTGAAACCCTTAGTGTCTCAGTGTTCGGACCAATGCATGAGAAACAGTTTTGAAATTCGTGGGCACCTCTTTAGTTTTCAGAAAAGCTTGAAGCGATTAAGGAAATTGCCATGAGTCAGGAAATTCGTACAGTGAAAGAATGGGTCACATTATGTTAACTGCACTTAGAAAATATGAAATTATTGGTACTCTATTCTTTTCTTACTATTTAAATAGTAAGCGTTTTAGTTTGGAAGATTTGGTTATATGTTATCTAAAAATCTGAGAGGACTTAAAAAGATAAATGGAGCCGAATCCCTGTATCACATTATGTGATGATTAAATACTTATTATAGGTGCTAAATGCCTACAGTTATTGAAATGTAGGATTGGATTATTGGTCTAAATGTAGTACTATAGAGCAACACCTAGGGGGAACTGTGATTGATCGCATTGTTGCTCATATTGTATTGCTTATACTGTAGCTACCAACCCGAAACAAGTTCTTTGAGGTTGGCTCTCTGCATTGTTAGTGCCTGTTAGTGCTCTACAGGAAGGAAAAAGCCTTACGGATGACCACTAAAAAATAGTTATAAATAACCCAGTCATTGTTAAATCTTTATTGCTTCTGCAGAAATATGACCTCATGCAGAATATTTGACCAAATAAAAAACTGTGCTCCGACTTTGATTCGAGAGCCGCCGTTCACATGTAAAAAAGCAAAGCTTGTGAGTCAAAGAAGTGAGCTAAAGGCGGCGAGCCAAATAAGGCCTCTGGAACAGCTCTCTAAAAGAATGACTGTTCCTTGTTTGAAAAGGCTGAAACTGACTTATGTTGGCAGGATCCCTGTGTCAGTATGAAATAAAAGTGCCTTACATTACTTAAATGTAGGTTTCCATCACCAGCCGTCATCCGCCTTGCTATTGGTCCCTGTGGAAGTATTCGCATCCTATGGTAGTTAAGAGGGAAGATGTTCGGCGCTTAATTGAGTCTTGGTGTGCCTGCAGCACAAACATGTAAACGACTGGTTTTCTTTTACAGCGTTGTAAAGGAGAGCAGTTACTTCAGCTGTTTCTTTAAGACTCTTATTTCCATCTTCGCAGGCGATGAGCTGGCTGAACTAGTGTTGACAGTAGTGCCACTGATTCCCTGTACTGCACTGTGGTAAGGTTACCTCAGGAAATCAGTTCCAAACGTTTTATTGCTTATTTCTTCATTTTGTTTTCCGCTTAATGTGAGATGTCATGATGATGCCTGTTTTCTGCAACGAAAGCTTATGTACCAGGAAGATACAGTTAAATATTGTAAATCAAAGGCAACTGTGGAACACAGGATGAAAGAATGGACTGCAGGAAAGGACACAGCCTTCCTTGGCGCACTGTATGCATTCGATAATGATTGGAAGATGTTTTGGAAAGGAAATATCTGTTTAGTGTTGTAGAATGGAGACACGGTCTATTCTACTGTAGAGGTGTCAGGTTTCTGGCAGACCGTTAGACAGCGGTACTTTCAGTCTAGTTTGGCAAACTGTGAGTTCTAGTGATAAAATACACACACAAACAATACGCCCTAAAATACACACAATAACCTAAAATTCCTATACAGCAAACTGTGCTGTGTTTCTGTGATAAAAGTTGCTATATCAACTAAACTTTTAATTCTTTTAAAATCCATCACCCAGACTCTAGGAACAGCACCTAATTTTACCATATTCATCCCTTTTGTTGTTAAACTCTCCATGTAGAAATGAATGCCCTAGTGTAATGGACATTTTCCATTAAATGATATCCATACACTAATGGTATACAATTACTCAAGTTTGTCAATGTTTTTAGTGGTTTTTAAGTTGTTCTCTTATTGGATAAAATACCCCTACATTACAGTAGACTATTTCACTCCAAAATGTATTTACCATCTATTGAACAACACTCATCTACAGTGTGCACAAATGACAAATGTTTTTCCATTATTTTGACCAATTGTTTCTACAATTGGGTCCTGATTCCATGGTTACCTGTCAGGTAAAGTAAATCATTAGGTTTAGCAAAGCTTTATTTCCTTGTTTATATCCTCTGCAAAAATTGGTACTCATTTAACAAAAGTTAGAAATATTGTATGATCTCCATCAAAGGAAACCATACACAAATGAAGTGTCATCCTTGCTCTTATCATACATTTACATACCTTCTGTGCCATGGGCCACCCAAGAGCTTCTGGGGGTTACAATTTTAATGTTTGTCATTAAACTGACCAAAAGGTATGTTTTTAGATAGTTTTAATCCGATCTTGGGAAATGGAAATCTACATGTTGATGAGCATGCAGTCATATTCAGCTGGGATTTGGGTTGTTGAAGAGCCTGACAATCAGTGCTGTTCCAGAAAAGCTTGGAGGGATTTTAAACTTGATTGATCAGTGAAATTGCAGAGGACTGTATTGAAGCTGATTCCAGCAGGCATGTTGGTTAACCATGCTTAAATCAAGGTTAGATGTGCCTGACAGAAAGGCATGCTAGTTGAACAAGATGACAAATATGGATTTTTCTTCCACATAGACACCTCACAACAAAATTGTCTTTTATCCTACAGTATCATGGGTAGTATCTGTCATTTGCTGAGCACTCTTAGTAGACATTGCAGTGACCCGCAATCATTATGAAACAGCTCTGGTCCAGTGTCATAACCTTCAGCCATCCACTTTGTGGCAAGTCGCGTAAGAACACGTTCACTCTTTGCGTATCTCTTATCGTGGAGGATGATTGTCTTTCATGATCCCCAAGGTGACGATAAGGTCAGAACAGGTTCAACACAGTTTGAGACACAAAAATGTCAGAATGAGGAAATGAAGAGAGCTCACCATGACTGTGCTGTACATGACCATATCTCCTGAGACAACACTGGCTCAACCTCCTGAAGAAGAACATAGAATCATAAGAAAGGTTACAGATGAGACAAGGTCACTGTGCCCACCTACGTAGTGTTGTTGCTAATAGGTAGGTTATACAAGGATCTCATATACTGTAGATACCTATTGAAGTATCAGCTCCAGCAACATGGCTAGACGATTGCTTCGGACTTCCACAAGCTTTTGTTTAAAAAGAGCCTTCTGTTCTCTTTACATCCTTGTGAGTGTCTTGTGGAATTGTAAACTATCCCTTTATACACATTGCAAAGTCTTTCAGCACCGAAAATAGAAGCAATTTGTAGGAGTCCTAAAATGTGATTATTTTTATTATCTGGGCTATGCAGGTATTATGCTGATACCCTTACCCTGTCTTCACATATTGGATGTCTCTAATCAAAGAGCAAACATTAGCTTCAAGATTCGGATAAACCACAGCTGATTGAATAGAGCACCATGGCATTTACTTCACATGTAGT